ATTATGGTCTGTTTTCTGTTTTCTCTGATGAAAAGACCAGAAACTCATGAATATAATAAAGAATTTATAAAAAAAAACTTGTAAATTTTTATCAAATGTTCCAATTTGAATGAAGAATATTATACAAAATGTCTCTGGTATCAGTCCAATATTGAAAACACCTCCGAGTCCCAACAAATTTCCTGTCTGAGACAGTCCTTTCCAGTGAAAGGTCCTGTTGGACTTTTCCATTTTTGTGCATATAGTAATCTCGCTGCCATTGCCATGTATAAAAACAAAGTTCCATGACTTTTTTTCCATCTGTCTGTCCATTAGGCTCAGAAGAAACACCTCTGGTTTCATTTGTACCTTAATCTTTAAAATCTTCTGAATTAAAAAAATGTATTTACATATAAATGATAAAATGACCACGTTCTTCACATTTACAACATCTATTAGAGTTATTTTTTAATATTTTAGCTAATTTCTCTGGTGACATATGCCATTGGTACATCATTTTATACAAATTCTCTTTAGACTAGAACTTAATGTAAATTTAAGATCTTTCTTCCACATATATTCCCATTGTTCCATTTGTATATTATGTCCAACATTTTTGCCCATTTTATCATACATTCTTTCACTCGTTCTTCCTCTGTCTCAAATTTCAATAATAATGTAAACATTACCTTACTAGGAACCCAAGAAGACTAGGGCCCTGGCTTTCTCGCTCTTCCTGGGCTTCTTACAGAGGCCCTAGGCTAAGAGCCACAGGCCAAGAGCCCTTTGGCTCATGCTTCTGGTGAGGTGCTGCCTTTAATAGAAGCCTCCCCCAGCAGAGGGTGTGGCCAGCAGCTATTCAGATTCACCCAGGCACTCAATTACAGTCAAACAATCACCCTTTCTCACCCTATCTCAAGCAGCCAGGGCTCTGCAACAACTCAGAACTCACTCACACACTCCCAGACACAGTTCCCCCACACAGTACCCTCAGCTAAATCACCTGCCTAGAGCTCAAATCACCATGACAACCGAACGTTCCAGTTTGAGTCTTTATCTTAGAGAAAACAAAACTCAGTTCCACACAGATACAGTCTGATTATGATATTCTTCTGCTAGCAAGTTTAGCCAAACACACTTTCATCAGAAGGGGAAAAAAATAAAAAGTGTAACTAATCCCTTGATCCATTTAAAACTTTTTAATCAAAGAGTTGGAAGGGGCCATACAGACCATCTAGTCCAACCCCCTGCCCAATATTAATAGCTCCTCCTTGTTAGGGTTTTTTGCAACAAATGTTTAAAAACCCCGATGTTTAAAGTCCATTTTTATTTTTGTCTTCTGTAGTCTTGAGGAAAATATTATCTCACCATAATTTTGTCTTTGCCATAGAAAAAATCTCTTCATCTGACAAGATTAATTATGTCTTGAAGTTTTTAAGAAATGGGGGCAGCAAGGCTTTAATGTCCAATATGGCTTGATGTGTCATCTTCTGATTTAGCCTCCTGACTGCTAGAACCTCAGGCAAACGGCAAAAACTGTTCTTTCTGCAGTTTACTGCCAGAGAGCTGCTGTTCAGAGGTCAAGTGGATTATCTCAAAATCTCCCCTTCATCCAGGGTGATCGCATCACCTCCTAGCTGGATTACTCGGCTGAGGCACTCCTCCATTTGGAGATGTCCACCTGCCATTTCCCCCCGCCAGAAGTCTCCTCACTGAATCTTTGAAGGGTACATGCCTGCTTGTTTATATCAGTCTGACAACTCTTTAGTTTTTGGTACTGTGAACTATTTGTATGTTCTCAAGGGTAATAGCTGGATATCACAGGCTAGCCTAATCTCACCAGATCTCAGAAGCTAAGCAGGGTCAGCCATTGTTAGCATTTGGATGGGAGACCACCAGGGAAGTCCAGGGTCACAGCTCAGACCCTTGGAAACCCTATAGGGTTGCCATAAATTGGCTACAACTTGGCAGCACTTTTCTCCACAACTAGCCGGGCCACAGAGAGCCTGATTCTCATGAAAGAGGATTCTGGCTTGTACCACTCCAGTGATTTTATTGCTGTTCCATACAGAAACATTCCCTCTTCACAGAAAATTAGATGTCTGGGACAAGGGTTCTTGCCTCGTCTTCTCTCCCCAGCCCCCCATTTCACGTCTCAGGGGTATAAAAAATGAGAGTAGGTGAGGGGGATTAGAACCAGACATGAGAGTGGGTGTGGGATCTGAATTCAGCTCCCCCAGCACACAGTCAGTTTTTATGGCTGTTCTTGGCCACTCCATTATTTTTCAGCCTCCCTTTCCCTTGTGTAAAACGTAAGCATGAGATAAAAGTGGTATATAAATATTTTAAATATAAATCAAAGGGAAATCCTAGTGACTCCTTTTACTACTTCTGTTTAAAATTAATTACTGACCAGGGGGAGAAAAGGGAAAGAAAATTGAACCCACCTAAAGAGTTCGAGTAACCAAAAGGTTGAGAAGAGCAGATAATGAACCAGAGAGGGAGGATATACATTTAATTCATGCCTCTAAAAGTTGTATTTCTGGTGTTCGTTATCTGTTTTTCTCCAATCTTTTGATTACTTAAAATGTAATTATTCTCATACCGTGCTAGGAGCTGTACTCCACATAAAAGTTATCAGTCTCTGCCTCAAGGGATTCAGTCTGCGTTGGATGAGAACAGAGGAAGGAGTTGGCAGGGATTAGCCTGGGTGCAGTGAGTTAAAGAAGTTAAGATGAAGCAAAGTGTGATGTTTGTGCATGAATAAGCTAATCATAGAATGTTAGAGTTGGAAGGGATCTTGCAGGTCATCTAGTCCAACCCCCTGCATTCTGCAGGAGCATTGCCGAACGATAGCCCTACAACATACCTGAAAGATGGTCGTCCAGCCTCCGCTTGAAAACGTACAGCGAAGGAACATCCACCATCTCCCGAGGCAGTCTGTTCCACTGCTCAACCACTCTTACAGTTAGGAAGTTTCTCCTAATATTTAGCCGGTAACGACTCCCTTGTAATTTCCAACCATTAGATCTAGTCCTGCAATGAATAATGTACTTTGAATATTAGAGGGTAAAAGTGTTACGGAAATGATGATTGATTAGTAAGGTTTTTCTCTGGGAAGGAGGAACTTGTGGGTTACTGAAGCTGGGCTTTTGAAGTGTGTTTGTGTGTGTTGAATTAGTTTAGCTATCTAGAGGCCTGGGCTACCTGTACTTTTCAGCCCTGCCCCAAGCCTGCTTCTCTTGTGTTCCTACCACAAGCTACTTGCCAGTCAGAAGTAGCAAACCTTGGTGTTCATAGTCTGAATTAACGACTCCTGCCTCATATCCAAGTATTGTAGGAAGGGGGTAAGTAGAGATGTGAAGGCCCGGAAAAAAACCGGAAAATTTCGGGGGGGAAACGTTCCCCCCCCCCCCCCCCGTTTTTTTTTTTTGCTTTTTTTTTTTTATCTTAATTTATATCCTAATTTATATCTTACCTGCACATTTTCCAGAATCTCCTGTACACGGTTCAACAAAATTCTTTTCCTGGAATTTTGCCTCCAGAGTTCAAAGTCCAGTGCTTTTTGTCTGTCTTGCTGGATTTCCTTTTTTCTCTCAATACTAAGCTGCAAAACAGATGGGGGGGGGGGGTTTTGAAAGAAAATGTTTACATAGTAAGTTTCCAGTCACAATCACCTGTAACAGACTGTGATACATCACCAGTACAGACATATTTCATTTATTTTTTTATTAAGCCTCTTTTTTGTTTTGCATAAAAATAGAGCTAACAAATAAGATTTAAGAACACAGTCAAAAGAACAGTTAACGGTTTTGTATTTGTAAAATTGATCCCTCCGTCAATAAAGTCCTTTATGTCTAGAAGAGACAGGCTAAGTACAGTTTAAAATTTAGTTTGTACTAAGACACATTCCCGACCTGGATAGCCCAGGCTACCCCCATCTCATCAGATCTCAGAAGCTAAGCAGGGTCAGCCCTGGTTAGTACCTTTATGGGAGACCTCCAACGAATACCAAGGTCATGATGCCGGGGCAGGCAATGGCCAACCACCCCTGAACGTCTCTTGCCTTGAAAGCCTATCAGGCCTAGAGATGTGAAGGCCCGGAAAAAAAACGAAAATTCGGGAAAAAAATGTTTTTTTCCCGGTTTTTTCCTGAAGCCTTTTTTGTTTTTTTCTGAAAAATTGGAAAAATTGAAAAAAGAAAAGAAAAAAATTGATTATGGAACGTTTTATTTTAACATGATGAATAAAATATTTTAAGACAAGGTATTCAAATATTTTCCAAATCATTTCTAAAATATATATATATGGTATCAGATTGATGTAATTTCTGTGCACTGAGAACAAGCAAGTCCTAGGTTACAAACTGAACTCTCCAATGCAAGAACAAGATGCATTTCTTCCTTTAGGAGGTGCGATTGTCAGAAGAAAATTAAAAAGTTTCAGTTTTGTTTTTGCATGTGGGTGGGTATTCTGTTTGTAATAATTGTTTAGATACACTATATTTTTAATATGCTAGTTGTGATAATTTCATGCCAAATAAAAATGTCCATAGTCATATTTTATGTTCCTAAAGTAACAGAATTACTTTCAATCTAGAAAAGACAAAAGAAATGCTAATGTAGCATTTTTTTCAATTTTTCCGAAAATTTCCGTTTCCCCCCGAAAAAAAACGGTTTTTTTCCGAGCTTCACAATTTCCGGAAATTTTACATCTCTAGGGGTAAGAGACCTCCAACAGGTAGTAGTGCAGAAGTTGCAGCTAACATGGTTGGTCTTAGGGCATTAACCTGGCAATCCTACTTAGTGCAGGCAATAAGTGTGTGTGTTTTCCAAGCATAATTTCCGTTGTAACATACCAGGTAGCCTGACAGTTTTATGGACAGCGTGCCTTCTCTGAAGTTGAGAGTCTGCCAACTGTGTAATCAGCAGTGACTTGAGTATGTACTTCTGGCATCTAGCTAGGAATTGGTTTTGTTTTGCAGCTTTAAGGTAGGTCCAAATAAGCTGTTTGTTTTGCAGGCAGAATCCAGATCTCCAGCTGCATTTACAGCAGAGACCTCCTCACCATCACAGCCCAACATCTTCATTAACATCTTTGGGATCTTTGACGTTGCTGCAGTCGCTGCCACCATCCAGGCTGTCTCCTTCTCAGCATCAGCCTCCACTTACTCCCAGCCAAGGAGATCCATTCTCTCTGCCACGGACCCAGCAGCTGTTTCTGTCCAACCAGGTCCATCAGGGAGATCTTTACCGACTGTGTCAACCTGTTATTGGACAACAGCAACATCCACAAGGGGATTCATATTCAGCACTGCCAAGGCCTCAGCCAGCACCTTCTCCTTACCAGCAGTTGACAGTGGATCCTTTTGCCATTGTCTCCCGGGCTCAGCAAATGGTGGAGATCCTATCGGAGGAAAATAGGTCTCTACGGCAAGAGCTAGATGGGTGTTATGAAAAAGTAGCAAGGCTTCAAAAGGTAGGAAGTTTGATTTGGCTTCTTCTGTCCCTTTTGCATAGTGTGTGGTCAATGCTTGTATTTCACTTCTGGGAAGTGCCAGAACCTAGCCAGTATGTGAGCTATCTCTGAAATGTGTGTGCAGTGTCCTGGTGCAGTCTGAATATTTGGACACATCTACATTATTAACGTGTGCTATTTTTATTTGTCCTAAGGAAATATGGGAATTGTGACTTGGTGAGGGTGCTTGAGAGACATCTGTTAGAGACATCCACAAATCCCAGAGCTCCTTAGAGAAATAGAAAGGATCCAAGATGTGTCTCCACTTGCGAGTGTGGATTTTTGACACCAACATCCTCCTTTTCCTCCAAGGGAACTTGGAGTTGCTTGCATGTGGTTCCCAGACAGTTTACAGGGTTCAGCCTCCTTTAGCAGTAGACATGATGTGCTTTTAGCCTATTATGTAAAAAGTGTGTCCTTTATGAAATATTTGACCTAACTATGCATCTTCCTTAAGGTTTAATCAGGTCTCTTTATAGCAACTCAGAATACATATACTGTATGTATTCCGTGCTAAATAGTAAAAATATAAAATACCTCTCTTTGTTTTTTTAATTATCTGCTGTAGTTGGAAACAGAAATTCAGCAAGTTTCAGAGGCCTATAAAAATCTGGAAAAGTCTTCCTCAAAGAGGGAAGCCTTGGAAAAGGCCATGAGAAACAAGCTGGAAGGGGAAATCCGCAGGCTTCATGACTTCAACAGGGACCTCAGAGGTAAAAGAAAAAATTAAAAATGTGCTAAAATGTATGGATGTATGCAATTAAAATTAATAGTGTGGTTTAAAAGATTAATCTCTTAAAATTATCAGTTTTTCAACTGTAAAGGACTTTGACTTCTCAAATGTTATGCTTTATCATTGCAAACACTCTGTGGTCATTTGGACTCAGAAATCTTGGCTTTCTATACAGTACACTTGGGAGCCAGATTTTTTTTTTATGCTCTGTCTCAAATACGTGAAGAGAGGCTGTGTGTTGACTTCTTCTTTAAGGGTGTATGAAGTTGCCTGACTTGTCTCATTATAATGATACTCCCCTGGTACTTTGACCTGACTTATTTAGGCCTCTTAACCTGAGGCTACATTTTTGCCCCACCCTCTGTAACCAAAGCAACCCATTGGCTCTCGCCTTGATTACATCAGCCTTTGATACTGTGCCTTGGAAATCAAGAAGGCCACAAATTACATAAATATGCCAGTGATCTCTTTCTTACATGCACACCCTTGAGTCTTTTCTCATATCTAGGTCAGAGTGGACATGCCCTTTCTGGTACATTCCTCTTGGATTTTTTATTCTAATCCATTTGTTTCCTTTGATCTCAGAAAAAAATCAGATTCTACTTTAATTTTCTGACTTCATTAACTCTAATCCATAAGATCTGATTGGCTCCCTATGTAGGGCTCGATTTTTTTTTCTTTTATATTGTGATAACATGCATTTTCTCCTGGGAGGTTAACAAGCATCAAACCTCTACTTGGCATTTTAGAAGTCTCCCCCCCCCCCTTTCTCTGGGAAGGAGGAAGTCCATCAATGGCTTTCAGGCTCACCTCCGTATAAATGCTAACAGGTTTAGACAAAGGGATGGTCAAGTCTTCCCTTTCTCCTCCCCCCTTCTCCAGGCAGGGAACAGAGTTTGGAGGACTGGGGGCTAGAACAAATCCAGGGATAAATCTCCAGGAAGGGACTGGAGGAAACACTTCTTTGACCTGGGCTGATCAGATCAAGTGGGAGGAGAAACAGAGATGATAAAATCTCTGTGCAACAAGAAATAGCTCTCTTTCTTTGGGATGCTGCTTTGAGGAGCTCAGGTCTGTAAGCAGGCAGCCATTGACCATATGGTTGGCCTGGACATCTGAAAGGGAGCCTAAAGGTAATGAGAACTGTGTAGAGATCTGTAACTAGCTAACCTAAAAGAGCCTGTCCTATTTTACCATCAGTTAGAGTATGTATTATTTATATTTATTTTTTTATTGCATTTATACCCCGCTCTCCCAGCGGGGTATAGCAAGAGGGACAGAGGATTTGCATTTTCTTTCCAATTTTGTTTGTTTTCCTTACTCCAATCTGTTGCTGTGCTAAAAGTAGGCTTGTAAACGTTTTCTTTTGAATAAATGCTTTAAACTGTAGCTGGGTGTGGTTTTCTGTACCACATAGATCTCCACCATTTTGAACACGCTATTTTAAAGGGGGCTTCATGTGGGTTGGCAAGTGGTTGTTCCTCCAAGGGTGCTCAAGGCAGTAAACTGTCCCTATGGTAACCAGGCACTGGGTAGTGGGAGACTCAGAGGCAAGACCTCAGAAATGGGAAAGGAAGCTGGGAGTCCTATCCCTCCCATCAGGCAATTCCTGACGAAAGGGCAGATGGTAGCGGTGAGTTACCCTAGCCCGGTGGTCGGCAAACTGCGTCTCGCGAGCTATATGTGGCTCTTTGGCCCCTTGAGTGTGGCTCTTCCGCCGTAGGTGGGCCGCGGGATACAAAACGCGGGGGAGTGAGTCAGTCCCGGAGTCAGCAGAGGCGGGCCCTACCTGCTGCAGCAACCCAGACTCCAACCCAGATGGGGCCCCAGCCGGCATGGTGCTGCCTCTCCGCCTTCTCACCCCCCCACATGCACATGCACCCTTTCCCTCCCCTCCCCCCTCCCCCCCCCTGCTCGCAAGACGCCAGACGGGCCGAAGCGGATCGGAGCTTCTCGGCAAACAAGCGGCCTCCTCCCCTCGCTGCCTCCTGCCTCCCGACGGCGCTGACGGCCAGCCTTCCCCGCACTCCTGGCCCATGGTGCATGGCAGCGCAAACCCGCAGTAGTCTGCCCGGCGCGTGAGGCTCCCACGTGGGCACCCTTCTGCGCTGGCGGGCCCTGCAGCCTTGAACTGATGTCGCTAGTGGGGTTCCCCCCCCCCATTGTTTTGCATCAACTTTTTTTGCACTACCCGCCTCCGGCGCAGGGCCTGGGTTGGCTCAGGGCTCCAGTTCGCTGCGATGGTGCGGAGGTTATAGTCGCCCGATTGGTTCTCCTCCGCCGCCGACGGCCCCCTCTTCCGGTGTACCAAGCGCTTTGCTCTACATCCGCTGTTATTGATCTCACAGATATGTTTTACGGAGGGATGCTTTGAAAGAAAAGAAAGGCCTCCCTTCCTTTACCATTGCAAATTCTCTCTCCCCCTCCTTCCGTCCTTCCTTCCTTCTCCCTGTTCTCTCCCTCCCTCTTTTCCACAATGATGTGAAAGAAAACCTGGAAAAACATTCCTCCCAAAATTGCTCTTAGCGGGAGAAGGGAGGGAATTAACCCTCTGGAAAGGAAATTAATTTTTATTTTAAAAAGAATGTGGCATAGCCCGGCACACCAAACCTGGGATTTGTGTAGTGGCTGGGGGGGGGGGGAGATGTTTAGCAACAGGAAGGGGTGGGATTTACTTGGATGTAAACTCATCTAGGACGGGGCCCCAAGGCGGGTTCTAGGGGATCCCCAGGTCCCACCTGGAGGATGGCATCCCTACAGCAGGCGCTTGAAAGACTGCCAGTACTGCCAGCCCAGTATTTGCTTCGGGTGCCCTTCCCTCCGCTGCTCGAAAACTCCCGTTTATTTGCAGCAGCAAGTGACTCCACCACCACCCAGAAGCAAGCAGGGACAACAGTCAGGGCTGTGGGGGTCAAAAAAGAGCGCCTGGTGTGGAGCCTGCACGGGAGTGGGCAAGAAGGGGGCGCCCGTAGCCGAGTGCGGCTGGGGAGCCTGGGAGCAGCTTTTGAAGCCTTTTTGCCGCCTCATTGCGGCCAGTACGCATGCGCCGCCTCTGGTCTGACAGTCCCGCACTCTCAGGTTGCACTGCTGGCGAGCAAGATTCACATTTGTGCGAAGTGGGGCGCGCAGCGTGTTTGGGGGCACGTGCAGGGGCGGCGACGGCTGGGCGCGTGGCATGAGCCTGGAGGGTGGCGGCAGCAGCAGCAACGGGAAACTTGGCAGTGGCTGATCGAGCAGATCGACAGCAACAAGTACCCGGGCCTGGTGTGGGAAAACAAGGAGAAGAGCATCTTCCGCATCCTTTGGAAGCACGCCAGCAAACAGGACTACAACCGCGAGGAGGACGTGGCTCTCTTCAAGGTACAGGCTTGTGGTGGGGAATGTGCCTGGGAGATATCACAGCCGGAGCATCGATTCTTGCTTCCAAAGATTTAGTGTGGATGGATGCCCCTTTAAAACAACCCACCCATATTTACTTGGTGGTGTCCTGTGCGACTCTGCAAGACGAAAACCGTGAATTTAAAGTTGAATGGACCGAGACTTTCGCGTTTATTCAAAACTCCAATGGCCTTCCGACCTGTCTTATTTGTCAGGAAAAATTGGCGCATAACAAGAAATCAAATTTGGGGAGAGACTTTACAACTAAACACGTGTCATTTA